TTTCATTTATAATGGCTCGAGCAAATTTCCAATCCCTTTCATTTAGATGTCAAAAGTAAGTGGTTACTTTAGCCACGCCTAATCAGCTTTAATATAGTCGCCCGATCGTAAAGATGAAACTTTTTTTCCTATCCTTCTTTCTTCTGTGTTCTCTCATATTATTAGTTAATGGTCAGTTTTTATTGTTGTAGTACCTTTGTATATACTTGTTATAAATCCAGGTGCAACACAGTTGACTGGGTGTAGCACTACTGATTTTTGTATAAATGTACAAACTCTACTTGTGTGTAGTGGAGATACTGCTGCTTCTGATGATACTTTAAGATGGAGGATACGTGACAATAATAATAATATAGTTCAATCAGCTACATATGATGAAGGGCAGACAGCTGTTGGTGAAGCTTCAAGAATAAATTTTGCTAATAATTCTTTTAGTGCTATCCTCACTTCTAGTGCTGGCCCTATGAGGTCTAATATAACATTTAATTCTTTTGAGGCTATTAATAATTACACCGTTCAGTGTACTGTTGATACAACACTCAGTTGTCGTATAATGGTACCAGGTATGTTGAATAGATTTGTCTTATTTAAGCTAAGCATGCCTATTTTTGTAGGTGTTCCTGCTCGTTCTGAAATTAATGGATTTGTTGTCACTCCTACTTATGTTAACTTCTCCTGGCCAATATCAACCCATCCTTGTTTTGAGGAGTATCGATTATTAACTACAAGTCCAAATAATTCTAATACTTTAGAGCGAATTTTCAATCGTTCAATTACTAGTATTCTCCTACCTATATCTCAACTTAATGATACAGAATATTCATATGGTATATATACTACTGATACTGGTCATAGGTTTATAGAACCTCAGTTAACAAGAATGCTTACACCCAATGGTAAGTTTAGAAATTAATATTTTATTTTAAAATTATTTTTAGTTCCTTTATCTGTTGCTAATCTGGCGTTAACGCAAACTGATTATCCAACTGATACTAATGATACTGTTAACATCACTGTATCATGGAATGAAGTAAGTAAATCATTATTAATTAATAATAATGATATCAATTTTATTATTATTTAAAGCAACAATCATCTCGTCCTCCTGCAACTCATTATAATATTCAATATAACATTTCTAATGAAATTCAGACTATATCAACTAATGTTACTTCACTAATTCTGTCTGGTTTTTCAGTTGGTTTAGTGTATACTGTTTCAGTGGAGGCTGTTAATGTATTAGGAACTGGTACTGTTGCATCAGCTACAATAAGTTAGTAAATATAAATAATTACAATTATAATATGTACTTTTTTAGCTATACTTGCTACACCACCACCACCACCTGAAATACCTTCAACTAGTACATCTGTGTCTTCCTTTACTTCAGGCATTAATGCAACTCCTAGTATGTCTCCATCAAGCAGTATGACTCCATCAAGCAGTATGACTTCATCAAGCAGTATGACTCCACCAAACAGTATGCCTCCATCAAGCACTATCACCCCATCAAGCAGTATGACTCCATCAAACAGTATGACTCCTCCTACTCAAGAACCATCACCTGCACCACGTATGTACATGTAACTGTTCTATATATTAATTATTGATTATTAATAGTTAGTGCTGGTGCTATTGCTGGTATAGTAATTGTCATCATTGGACTGGCGCTGGCAGTTTCGATTATATTAGTGATTGCTATTGTATGTTATGTTAAGAAAAAAAATGAAGGCACAAAATCTTCTGTTCCTCCTCAAATGATTGAAGTAAATTTACACACGAACACAAACAGCTGCTTAGCTAAACACCATTTTTATTATCCAGCTTAATATTATTGTAATTTGTTACACACAGTCATTATATTTTAAAAGGTTTACCTTTATGATGTGACAGTGTATTTTATGTTATTTTTCTCAAGAGAATAAATTTAAAATAATCCATTAGCAGTTGCGCCTGCATACATGTACATGTACACACATTTTAAAATTTGTTTTTGTTAGGTGTTGTTTTAACCTTTTGTATAGTGTATTTTATGTTTATTGTGTTTTTTTTAACTTAATGGGAAGTTTGTAGTTTGTCAGGTATCATTATCTGCAATTATATAGATACATGCAAATAATATCGTCCTCATAATGAATGTGTGTGTGTGCATGTGATGATGTTGTTTGTCATTATTTTGAACAATATTGTTACTATGACAATAAATTTTCAGCTGGTTTGGCAGGTGTTTGTGTCTGTGTGAATGCTTGCTTTTATATTATTTATTGATCTCTCTCCCTCTCTCTTCTCAAGGCTTATAATTATGCTCAAGTAGACTACTCTGCTAAATCATCTTCCTCTACGATACAAGCTCCTCCAAAACCAGCAAAAGCAATTTCACCTGAAGCTGATAATCAGGTTTTATATTCTGCCATTCAAAAATCGGAAGCATCTCATAACCCACCACCACCACAAGATGGTACCGAGTATGCTGATCTTGATCATAGTTCTTCGTCGTCTGGTAGACGCCACCAGAGACCCAAGGACACCAGTAATCAAGTCACATATTCTCATGTGAGCCATCATCATGATAGACGCAGAGTGAGGGGAAGTAACCATGGAAACTATTATTAATTAATTACTGAACTACTTTGAACTAGTATAAACACACTGTCTTTTTTGCCTTTTATGTGTGTCCTAATGATATGAGGATGATGTGTAGCGTATGCATGTATGCCCATGATGTCCATTTGTATGTTATGGTGTGCATTATGTATTATCATATGCTTAGTGTCAGCTGCCCTGTACTATACAACTGGTATATCTTTGTCATTGATGGTATTAATGTGTACACATTTGT